CAAGGGTCCAGCCCTGCCCATGTGCAGCCCTAATGGCTATAATGTGGAATGGGTCGAAGAACAAGGAATTTAGACCAACCAGAGGACTAAGGCAAGGAGACCTCTTATCTCCTTACTTGTTCGTCTTAGGAATGGAAAAGTTAACCCATATGATAATAGGGTTAATTGTAAGGTCTAGAGGCCTTTGAGATTAGGGAAAAAAGGTACTAAAATATCTCATCTAATGTTTACAGATGACTGTCTGTTGTTTTGTGAAGCCTCTGTTAATCAGGACATAAATGTTTTGGAAACTTTAGAAGAATTTTGGGAGCTATCAGGACAGCAAATTAATGCTCAAAAAACAAGTGTTTATTTCTCTAAGAATATAGATAGGGAGTTGCAGAATGTTATTTGCAACATGACTGGCTTTGGGAGGATGGAAGATTTGGGCAGATATTTGGGTGCACATATTACTCAAGGAAGGAGCCAAAAAAGTAAATTCCAGTTTTTAACAGATAAAATCCAGTATAAGTTGAATGCCTGGAAAAGACAATCTTTGTCCTTGACTGGTCGCATTACCCTTGTTCAGTCAATAATAAGTTAGATGGCCATATACCATATGCAGCACTCTTATATTCCTGTGGGAGTGAGACAACGGTTAGAAAAAATTCAAAGGGACTTTATATGGAATAGTGTGGAAGGAAGGAGGAAGATTCATGCAATAAATTGGAACATGATGTGCTCTTCAAAAAACATGGGAGGATATGGTCTTAGAGACATGGGAGTTATGAATGATGCTTTGCTTGGAAAAATTGGATGGAAAGTGGTTGCGTAGCCTAAAAATTTATGCTCTAGGGTGCTGAAGGGAAAGTATGAGAGAGGGAAGGATCTGCATAATGAGTGGATTGCAAAGAGCTCTGATTCAGAGATCTAGAGGAATGTAGTAAGACTATGGCCAAACCTGAAGGATAGTATTCAATGGGAAATTGGGAATGGCAAGCGTGTTAGGTTTGGATGTTTGGGCTGAGGATGGTTAAAAATTAATGGATAAATGTAATGTTAATCTGGACAGAGAAGTAGCAGATGCTGCTGTTAAAGACATGGTGACAGCAAGCGGAAGTTGGAACCTTGATAGAATAACGAGATTTCTATCAGAAGAGAAATGTAGCCACATTCTTCCTAATTTACCACCAAAAGAAGAATTGGGAGATGATAAGATAAAATGGGGAGGTGGTGTGAACAACAAGTATAGCATTTTTTTATATGTACAGGAAGTTAAGAAATGAACAAGGTGTGAGTGATAGTGTATGGAATAGGTGTAACGTCCACCACTTACTAACCAGAACTAACCATGATAGAAAGGACTAAAACTAGTAAACATACCCTATCATGGTTATTTAAGAACAATCACATCACTAAGGGGCTAACCATGATAGAAAAGAATTCGACCTTAATTAAGGCTATCATGGTTAGAAAAGAATAACCTATATTTGTAATCATGTCAACATGGTTATAAAACAATACGCCTCTGAATGATAAATTATAATAGCAGTTTAGACTTGACTATCTTAGTCAACACTAGCCACAACTAAACTTGCCAAAATTGTCATTATCACATCATGGATCCACAATAATTCAATCACATGCAATCTAAGGGCCTCAGGCCCACTACCAGCACTCTAGTCCAATGTCCAAACAAAATAAACTAAAGATAGAAAGTATAATACGTTCATTAAGTCAAACGACATAAAAATATAAGAAGGTAAAATAAGTCCCAAATGAATGCAGACCTGATGCGTGGCAATATACGAAAAGATTGCATAAAAATAAGGTCCAGAAGCTCTACACTGTCAGCTACAGCTATTGAGCCTCAGGAGTCTTCCTCGAAGATCCCGCTAACGTATTGTTTCCTGAAAATGGTAAAGCAACAGGAATGAGACAACGTCTCAGTAACTAAATCCCTACCTATCCCACACCCTAGCATGGGCTAGAGAGGTATCAGGTGGGATACACAGAGCTAATAATAGTTGATAAACATTTATTTAACATTTAAACTCACAATAATCATACAAGACAAATATTTCCACCAATCTCAGTCAATTGATACCTTTCAAAAGAGATAACATACTTGTCATTTATTTAAAAGATGGAAATATCAATGAATATCCCATGTCATATGCAATTCCTGAACCCAAATCCATCCTTATATCCTCCTTATTTCCGCCGACTGGACCCATGGGCTAAGTTCTTTCCATTTAACTGGCAACTCTGACAAGCTCACCATACGAATGATGTGGACCAGCCAAAGACCACAGAGCACTCGGTGGACCATGGGTCCCCCCTCGAAGAACTAGTGGGGTGTCGCAGTCTCTCGAAGAACTAGTGGGACAATAATAGCAGCCAACCATAGAGCTCCGTATGGAGGCTAATACCACGTGGCAAGTATATGAATCTCAATAACTCCAATTACCTCCTTACCCCACCCAAAATAGATGCACAAGGTTCAAAATGACACATTTATATGCATAATCTACAGAATTTCATAATAACACATCATAATCATGATCACCAATTTCTTATAATACAAATTATGCCAATCCTTTTTAAAATAGCATCCCACAAGACAGTTTATACAAAACGTAATATACTTTTATAGAATTAGTTATAAAGCCGCTCACCAACTTCATACTAGAGCATGCAACAGATAGAAATTTAGTTACCTGGTCTCCTAGCTAACAGTCAACTACAACCAGAGTCCAACCTCGAAAATGCCACAATAGAGTTTATATCTACAAACAAAATTTAAATATTATCTCTATAGTATTAGAGTTTGCTACTCACAAAATTTTAGCCTCTAACTCCTCCTCTAAAAGCTTTAATTTTTTACTCAGAACTCTAGCCTAAAAGACATTTTTCTAAGGTTTGGAATGAGAACATATATATATATGATTTAGACTCGATTCCTAAATTTTTCTTACTTAAATATCCTTTAATTATTATATTATATTATTAGAATCATCAAATTCATAATGTAAATAGACAAACTGTAAATTTATAACTTATATTCCATCTTCGAAGGACTTAAGACAAATAGACTTAGTATGAACCAGGTTATTCTCACTACAGAAGTTAATCCCTTAATCTAACCGTTGAATTTAATTTCCTATCTATCATGATACTATCCTCTAAATTATAGCTCAATCTAACGGTGAATGAACTTTAAAATGCTAATTTACTATTCAGGACTCTATCTGCTAAATCCAAAAGATATAAGTTAAAAACGTACCTAATAAATTGTAACTCGGAGATCAAAATGATGATCCAACCGTTGAAATTAACGATTTGGATGTCCCAAATGGGCTGACCAAATTTCAGTCCGATCCAACGGTTAATAAACTCAAAACTAGCACTTTTCTGAGACTACCTCAGATATGTGCGAAAATTATTTACTCACTTCAAGCTCCACTCACTAGCTCCTATATATAGGCTCCTCAACCTCCTTCACTCTAAAGATTAGTCAATGTGGGACTTCTATACTATGATTTAATTTTCTAGAATATCATCCACACACACAATAACACACAAAAACATTATTAAAATAATAATAATGATAATTTGCCTATATCTAACTTTTTTTTTATAATTAACTTAATACTAAAATATATTTATTTATAAATTTAATTAAATACTAGATAAAAATAAGGATGTTACAATAGGACCTGGCATTGGAAGGGTCCAAGAAGGATTCAAGTTTTTCTATGGTTGGCAACTCATGATAGATTACTAATTGCTGAACGAAGGAAGAGATTTTTGGGAGGTTCTAAGTATTGTTTCAGGTGTGAAGGGATTAATGAAAATCTTATGCATGTACTTAGAGATTGTTGTGTTGCAAGGTATGTTTGGAATAGGTGGGAGGGTTTCACCTATAAAGCTGACTTTTTCCAGCTAAATGGGAAAGACTGGTTTAGATGGTGCCTGGGTTGTAAAGATGAAAGGTGAAGAGTGGTTTTTGGTGTTACATGTTGGTAGCTATGGAAATAGAGAAACAAATCATTATTTGAGGAAGGGGTTGTTTTGCCTGAGGAACCTTGTAGTAGTATTGACAGATATGTTCAAGAAATTTTGATATTCAGAGAAAGTGGAGGGATAAGTGGTTCAAACTAGAGAGAACAGTACATTGGTTGGGAGGCTCCAAAGGTTGGCTGGATCAAGTTGAACATGGATGGGGCATCAAAGGGGCAAAATGGTTTGGCCGGCTGTGGGGGCTTGTTGAGAGGGTGTGATAGTAGGTGGATCAGAGGTTCTCAAAAAGATTGGGTAAGTGTTCAGCTATCAAGGCTGAAATCTAGGCAGTGTTTACAGGTTTGCAGATGGCAAGGAGTGGTGGAATTAATCACTTTATTGTTGAATGTGACTCTTCTACTGTTATTAATATTTTACGTAGCTTGTTGCATGAGACTGATCATCCTTCTAATTTTTTGAAAGCTGTAAAGAATGTTTTGACTAGTTTTGAGAGAATAAGGATTAAGCATGTGCATAGAGAAGGAAATTCCTGTGCTGATAGACTTTTTAATTTTAGTTTTGAGATTGATGAGGTGGAGGCTATTTTGAGGTGCCGCCTCTGATTGTATGAAAGCACTTGTATGCTGATTTTGTGGGGGTGGATATCCTATGTTTTGTGAAGGATTAATAAGATTGGGCCTTTGGGCCCCGTATTATTCACCAAAAAAAAGAGAGAAATTCAAGGAGAAAAAAACGAAGGAAGAGTAGAAAAGTAGGGAAACATTCAGTCCAAAAAAAAAACAGAAGGGAAAACCATGGAAGCCCGGGGTTCTCTCTCTCTGTTTTTTTAAGGAAAAACCTGCAAGGTGCAAATCTCTTAATGGGCCCAGTTGATGGGCGGTCTGGTTGAGCCCGAAAGGAATGTTGATGTGGAAGTTCGACCCGTTAATGGCCTAAAATCCGGCCCGGATTATTTTAAGTGATGATGGGAGAGGTAAGCTCCTCGGCACAAGGCATCGCTAACTCTTTGCGCTCTCGTGTTCTCTAGGGTAACAACGCTGGAGAGTGGTAGGAGGGCGGCCATCTCTGTAGGATCTACTCTGAGAACAACCAACACAGGTTTCTTTCTTCTCCGTGATTTTCCGCCTTTTCGTTCTCAATCTCACTCTTTTTATGTGGCCACACCCGTTTTGAGTTTCTGTAAATGTTAAACGCTCGTAATGATGAATCCCTGTTGCTTCTGTTTGGTTTTCATCCTACCTTAACTGGACGCATGGATTTCTCGGGTTTTAATATCGTTCGTGATCTTCAAAATTGTAACTTTGTTTACAGCTTATCTAATTTTCTCCCCTGTATTGTTTATCGTAGTCTTGATCGTAAACTTGATGCTATTTATCTGTTCTCTGCACCTGATTTTGGTGACACGTTAAGGCTGTCGTTATGGGCGCATCAGTGAGCTCTTAATTCACTGATTCTCGGCAATGTTTTGTTCTGCTCGGTTGAACTTGGATGGATTTTTTTCCCACTATATAATCGAAGGTTTTTTTTTTGGGGGGGGGGTTGTAAACGCAACTCTATATTGTTCCCAGATTTCCCCGGCCCCCCTGATATTTTACGCAGATGTGGTTTTTCTCTTTTGTTCGGTTAATAGGAGATATGTTTTCTCATGTTGGTCATTTTCTATTTCATCTTGGAGCAGGGATAGTTGATTTCTGCTGAAAGCCTAAAATGACTTCTTTTTTGAAGCCTGAGAATGCTCTGAAAAGAGCGGAAGGTAAGTTTGAGCGATGAACTTTTACCTTCTTATTTCATTTAGATAGAGACTTTCATGTCTTTGTTGGAAGATATGGTTCTATTTTCAAATGTAGTAATGCCGTGGACTTATTCTATGTAAAATTCAATGTGCAGAATTGATTAATGTTGGACAGAAGCAGGATGCTTTGCAAACTCTACATAGCCTTATCACTTCAAAAAGATATAGAGCATGGCAGAAGACACTTGAAAGGATAATGTTTAAATATGTAGAACTGTGCGTAGACATGCGGAAAGGGCGATTTGCGAAGGATGGGCTCATTCAGTATCGTATTATATGTCAGCAAGTTAATGTCAGTTCACTGGAGGAGGTGATCAAGCATTTCATGCATCTGTCAACGGAGAAGGCTGAACAAGCTCGCAGCCAGGCACAGGCATTGGAAGAGGCTCTCGATGTTGATGATTTAGAGGCAGATAAAAGGCCTGAGGACTTGATGCTTAGTTATGTGAGTGGAGAGAAAGGAAAAGAGAGATCTGACAGGGAGCTTGTTACTCCATGGTTTAAATTTCTCTGGGAAACGTATAGGACAGTGCTTGAAATATTACGCAACAATTCAAAACTGGAAGCTCTATATGCTGTAAGTTTTTCTTCCCCCCTTTTATTTTACTGTAGCTTCTGCGTTTTCTATATTTTTAGGCGTTGATGCTGTTGTTTATAAAGTAGTTTAATGTTTATCCTCCAAAGTTTTTCACCCTAACCAATTTAATTTATTGATCTCTCTCTTTCTAAATTTGTGTTTGCCTTTGATATATGGACTGTCGTTGGACTTGAAATTTCCTGCAGATATGTAATACCCTTTTTTTAATTGGTCACTTTATGGAGGGTGCCAGCCATCCGGAAGTCATATGCTTCTTAAGTCTTAGAGTAATCTTAATTGGGATATCTGGGACATAAGAGAGCCTCATGAACTGCTTAAAAATTTTCCTGGCGTCGGGGACAGTGTGATTAATTGCCATGTAACTGCTCCATATTGATTAATAATACACTGTTTCTAAATTTAAAATTTTAACAGTAGTGAATTATTGATTGGTTGCGTTTGGCATGTTATTGCTTTTGCTGGATGTTATTTTATTTTGACATTTTATATTCCTTGATTTGATCTGAATTTTTTGAACATTTAATTAACTATCTTTCTTTGTGTAGATGACAGCACATCGGGCTTTTCAATTTTGTAAGCAATATAAGCGAACAACAGAGTTCCGCAGACTTTGTGAAATTATAAGAAACCATCTTGCCAATCTTAATAAATATCGAGACCAACGTGACCGACCTGATCTTTCAGCACCTGAAAGCCTGCAACTATATCTAGATACCAGATTTGAGCAGCTGAAAGTTGCAACTGAGCTTGAACTCTGGCAGGTTAGTCATTCTCTCCTAGTTTTTCTTACATGTCTTTAAAGTGTCTGTCAATGGAGTGTTGAAAAGTTTTTTTTAATTTTGCAGGAAGCTTTTAGATCTATTGAAGATATACATGGACTTATGTGCATTGTCAAGAAAACACCCAAGGCATCATTGATGGTTCTCTACTATGCTAAGCTGACAGAAATATTTTGGATATCGTCAAGCCATCTATATCATGCATATGCGTGGTTCAGGCTCTTTTTACTGCAGAAGAACTTTAATAAGAATCTGAGCCAGAAAGATCTTCAATTGATAGCTTCGTCTGTTGTTCTGGCTGCACTTTCAGTGCCTCCCCATGATCACACTCAAGGTGCATCTCATTTGGAATTGGAGCATGAAAAAGAGAGGAATTTGAGGATGGCTAATCTCATTGGTTTTAACCTTGAAAGTAAACCTGAGAGCAGAGAAGTGGTAACATACGTTTTTAACCGTTCTCTCAAGTTAGTGTATCAATGTCTTTTTCCTTGAATCTAACTATTTTGCTTTTGTCACCTTTTTTTCTTTTCCTCAGCTTTCAAGGTCAGCCCTTCTTGCTGAACTGGTAAGGTTGAAACTTTTTGTTCAGTTATACTTTTGATCTGCATTAATTTCTTGATAATTTATTTTTGCTTTTTGCATGATTTGTGGATAGGGGAATTTAGTGAGGTGGCAAATATGAGACCAAAAGCATTAGGTGGCGAAACTTTGTTTAAATTCTGGACACCAGAATTTTCTATATCATTGACACCTTTTTATGATTGTTTTACTTGTTGATTTTGTCTTGCTCCCTCCCTTCCATTGATTAAGCCTGCAGTTTGGACATAATTAATAATGGGCTTAAAACAAAGGGTTTGGAGTATGTGTTATATTGACCCCAACAAAGGGTTCAATCATCCTCATGTTTGTCTTCTGGTTGTCACTACAGGTGTCCAAGGGTGTAATGTCTTGTGTGACTCAGGAAGTGAAGGACATTTATCATCTCTTGGAACATGAATTTCTTCCCCTGGATCTTCCATCGAAAGTTCAGCCTCTGCTAACTAAAATATCTAAGTTGGGGGGTAAGCTCTCCACTGCTTCTTCTGTCCCTGAGGTGCAGCTGTGTCAGTATGTCCCAGCATTGGAGAAACTAGCTACCTTGAGGTTGCTACAGCAGGTGCATTTTAATATATGGTGTCAATTTTTGGATATTTAATCATTTCTTCTGGACATGCTGAATTCTGTGTGCTAAATGTTATCCTTTGGTTTTTCAGGTGTCCAACGTTTACCAGACAATGAAGATTGAGACCTTATCTGGAATGATCCCCTTTTTTGATTTTTCTGTTGTGGAGAAGATTTCTGTGGATGCTGCTAAGCATAAGTTTGTATCCATGAAAGTTGATCACATGAGGAAGGTTGTAGTTTTCTGCAAGACGGTATGTTGCCATTCAGTTGGTTTAGTTGCCTTACTAACGCATGATATCATAGAAGACAACACGCCATTTCACCTCATAATGGTTCAATAATAGATGCACTTGGCAATAGATTTTGCTTTTGCAGAAAAATAACTTGTGATATGTTGAAAATTAATCTCATTTAACATCATCGTGAAATCTCTAGAATCCCTGCTCTTACTAGCCCTACTGTACTTAAAGTAAATAGTAATTGCGTATTTTCTATTGCAGAATCTAGAGTCTGATGGCTTAAGGGATCACTTGGCTAAGTTTGCTGAACATCTGAACAAGGCGAGACAAATGATTTATCCTCCTGATAGAAAACCATCAAAAATTGGAGCTTTGCTTCCCTCCTTGAATGAAGTTGTTGCCAAGGAACACAAGAGGCTTCTTGCACGGAAATCAATTATTGAGAAGCGAAAAGAAGAACAAGAACGGCAGCTTCTTGAAATGGTATGGTCTTGTGAATTAGTGATGCATGAGAGCTTGCAATTTCAATTTAATCATTTTTTATTTTAAGAGATTAAATTTTCCCTTTAATCCTGTATATATTAAAGGAAAGAGAGGAGGAATCAAAGAGATTGAGACTGCAGAAAATAACTGAAGAAGCAGAACAAAGAAGACTTGCCAATGAGTATGAGCAGAGGAAGAATCAGAGAATTCTCAGAGAAATAGAAGAGAGAGAAATGGAAGAAGCTCAAGCATTGCTTCAGGAAGCTGAGAAGCGTATTAAAAAGAAGGGAAAGAAGCCAATCATTGAGGGTGTAAGTTGAAGTCTACTTCTGACTAGATTTCCAATTATTTTGGTTAGGACGTACTGAGAGTGAGTTATATCTGGCAGGAAAAACTGACCAAGCAAACACTGATGGAGTTGACGTTGACTGAACAACTCCGGGAAAGACAAGAAATGGAAAAGAAACTACAAAAATTAGCTAAAACAATGGACTATTTGAAAGAGCCAAAAGAAAAGAGAGGAGGCTGCTCCCTTGATTGAAGCTGCATATCAAAAGCGCCTAGTGGAAGAAAAGCTTCTCCATGAGCGTGAGCAACAGGTAGTTTACCTCTCCTGTGTTTTGTGTTTTTTTTTTTTTTCCCCCGGGTGATAGTTTATTTCTTCTGTTTTGTTTGGAAGGATGTGCACTACTGTTTGTGTAACGTGTATATTCTTTTGCATGAATAAATAATATCTTCCCTCTCTTTGACCCACTATGCTTTGATGCAGCTTGAGGTTGAAGTTAGCAAACAGCGCCATGAGGGAGATCTCAAGGAGAAGGAAAGGCTGGCTCGTATGGTTGGCAATAAAGTCAGTAATCATCAACTTCTGTGGCTTGTTAACTGTTAGCGGTCTTTAAGGAATTGTAATAGATGACTCGTGATATCTGCGTTATATTGGATGGAAACTATTTTGAGAACGTAACTAGAGAGTTCTGTTTCGAGTCTTTTAATTTTCTACTTTGTGTGCTTTCTGTCTGTTCTCTACTTAAGTGGGATCAATCTGCTCATTTTCTCACCAACATGCCCTTCTTCTGACTTATGCTGCATGTGATAACTTTATGTAGGAGATTTATCAAGAGAGAGTCGTCAGTTCTCGTCAGGCAGAATTTAATAGGTTGAGTCGGGAAAGAGAGGAGCGAATCTCAAGGATTTTACAGGCCAGGAGACAGGAGAGGGAAAAGATGAGGAAGTTGAAGTATTATCTGAGGTTAGAAGAAGAGAGACAGGAAAAATTGCGTGAAGAGGAGGAAGCTCGGAAGCGTGAAGGTAACCTTACCAGAAACTATTTCCTCAGCACTTGATTATAAATGCTCTGCTCCACGGTCAGATCCTTTCTTGGTATATTTTCCTTGCTCATCGGCATTGATGACTTTGCAGAGGCTGAGAGGCGGAAGAAGAAGAGGCTGAGCACTTGGCGAAATTGGCTGAGATACTAGAAAAGCAGAGGCAAAGAGAGCGGGAACTTGAAGAGAAGGCGGAGAGGAAGAAGAAAGAAGCACTGTTGGCAGAAGGGGTGAAGCAGCTGTGATGAAGCCTCTTGAACCTCCAGCCCGCCCATTGGAGGCTGGAACCACCGCTACTGCACCAGCTGCGGCAGGGGCTGCAGCTGCCTCTGCCCCTGGGAAATACGTACCTAAGTTCCGTCGTGAGAGCTGAAGTCCCAAACCCTGTGCTCCTTTAGAAGCTGATCGATGGACAAACCCTAGCAGGCAGGATGGTGACAGATGGCGTAGTGATGACCGAAGACCTGCTTTGGTGCTGGTGGGGGTTCAAGGTCGTCGTCAGCATGGTCCTCATCCAGGCGTGGAGCTGATCGTTGATCAACTTGGCTCTTGATTTTGCAATAGAACAGGGGGGCAACCGGTTGGTGGGGCATTGCTTAATTTTGCGCTTGCTCCTCGATGATTGAACGATTTATCAAGTTTTGTCTGTAACCTATCATGTTTTGAGTTCTAGGTTCTTGTTTATTATGGAAGACTTCAATTTATTGCATAATGCTCATAGAGCCGTGGTTTCAGTTGAGGAACAGGCCTGTAATCTTATGTATGAGGTTGAGTGTATTGGATACCCAAAGTTGAAATCGGAATTCCAGATGAGGCATGTCCCAGACCTATTTATCCTTGATGGTATGTTGAAATCAA